AATTTATTTACAATATTCGTTTGTACGTCCCATGTTTATCCTTCCAATAACGATCGAGGGAATCAACATAGTCATCAGATGAACCAAGAGTGGTAAATCAGTATGACCTGACAAAGTAACGGCCGAAGCACTGAGTCACACATAGAAGTGATTGCAAACATGTTCTACGTTCTATTCAGAAAGATTTAGGAATGAAAAGTGCCACTAATAGACTGGAAATAAGGATATCTCACCAGGATACCAAAGAAAAGACATTTGAGCGAATGTGAGAACTACAGAGGCACCACACGTTCAGCGGTCAATTAGGTTTGCTTCCTCTAGCTTCACATGAAGCACAGAGCAGTATCATGTAGACGAATGTGTAGGGTCGCCTGAAGATTCATCAGTCCGTGTTGGTCTTCATTTATCAATAACTATTTAGTCCCTTGTGATCAGTCCTCTGAGTTTGGGATGTCTGAGAAAATGAACTTTCCGTCACCGGTTTACCACTATTTCACTGACCAGATAGGAATTCTGTCCTCGATAATTTAGTATGTCTTCTAACTAACCTCTGTTTGCTTGAGTCAAATAGTAGGTTATGGTGTTTTACGCCAATGATTTGCGTAAACCCACGTTAAGGCAGACATACTTTTAACCTTAATAAGCGACCGGCTTCCCGATTGCCAAACGCAGTCATACCAGGAGTCAGAAATGGCATGTGAAGATATATTTAGGAGACAGTTGATGTGTCAAGAGGTATATAGACTAAGGTGACTATTTGCTTTGGGCGATTCGCAGCACAGCGAATCTAGATGTGACCTAGTGCGGACCCTTGACTGGGAGCATTCAGTGGACGTTCAATGAGACCAACGGTTTAAACACCAATGTCGAAGACATTCTTGATGGACTGAAGATTTCACACCTTATGACAAACGTTGGGTCAGGTATGTCTGGACCACTAATACAAAACAGATAATGTCAAGTGATCCCTCAATATAATTATCGTCTCGACAGCTCAGTACATGAAAATCATTGCTGTTACAGTGGAGTCCTGATACACACAGTAAATTGCTGAAAGTGTAAACACTGGGGAGTAGTTCCAAATATACATCGTAATCCAACATTAACTGAGCATTAGCGTCCAATAATTTCAAAAGATTTGGTAATGAGAGTAGTGAAAGCCTATTGTAGTTTATTGTAATGACATATTGGAGTAAAAATACCGCAGATTATTCAGTTACAGAGTGTTGAACAGAAAGACTACTTAGTGAAGATATATGTTTATTGAAAAATATTTATTAGTAAATAGATATAATGGTAAGGCGAAATTTACATGGTCAGAAATGAACATAAAATTCATATACAAAAAACAAATACTAGGTACAGTGTGTTAAACAGACAAACTGCCTTCTCGAAAGCTACTTGCGGAGATAAGACAATTTACAACAGATGGTATCCCTTTATTTGAAAGTCGTTTAGCCTCATCAAATATATGAACTATTTGTTCCAACTGAGGTTTGTCAACTAAGAAACCATTAACCGGATTGCTATTATTAGTTATGAAATTATCTGATACAGGAGCAACACTTCTACAGTAAGCTGATCCAATTACTTCATATGGTGTGTAGTTTAACTGGCATCCAACTTTGGATCGGAAAAACGTAACTTGGTCACGTGCAATCTGTGACCAACAAGCGTCATTACCAATAACAGCAATTGCAGGAGCATGATGACGTGCTAAAGAATCCCATTCAACTAAACTATATCCTGCTGAACCATCACCATAAATAACCCAGACAGTAGCCTATATGGGAAAAAAGTAAATAAAAATTGAGTTTTTGACAATGAACAACTATTAAAAACCGAATTACAAACTGTTGAGTTATTATTAGAACATGGAAAAATTAAGATGGGCATAATTATAAAGTGATCGGTGAGTCCTTAGGTTATGAAACAAGGATATAATAAATCATATTTCAGCTTGTTTTGTAGCATTTTCGTTGTAGAAGATTTACTTGAAAAGATCTATGGGATGGGGAGGTGGGAGAGAGTCTTCACTCAACTCATTCGTTAGTGCCGCTCATCTGTGCACATGAAAATTCATTGATGCTCTAAAAAAAAGAACAGTCATAATGAACTAAAAATAAAGTGATGTTTCAAGAATTCAGGAGCAATATGGAAAAAGGAAAATACAGGAAGGTAGACATGCGTACCAAACTAGTTGTACACAGTGGAAACATATATACTAGACTATTAACGCGGAATACCACATAGTTTAAGCTCGTACACTAAGCTACATCAAACTATTATAAAATTAGATTTACATCTATACGACGTCATCACAGAACATTTTTGAAGCTTGTTCTTGAGTTATACTTTTTCAGTTAATGTATTAGGAGTTAATTTTATTATATTATTGAAGAGCCATTTTAATGCCTCTTCTTATTAGACTTGCCTATATTAATGCCTGTTTTTATAAATATGGACCCATTGACAAGGTCATTTTTGACTCCGCTTTTATTGAAGGATACTACGGTAACAGACACCATTAGTTGTAGACATTCCATCAAGAATCGTTGCTATATACTTGCACGGTGAATCAGTTAGTCATAATTAACACAATTTCCCTTCTGGTAGATAATCAGCATAAACATCTCACTTTTATACATCAGTTTACGTTAAAGCGGAATTTCGCTTCCAATCATTATCGTCTTTTTCTTTGTTTGTTTTCGGGATATAGTTATCGAGGCATATGATTACCGGAATTTTCCGATTCTGTCGTATATAAAATATTTTCAAATGTTTATAATCATAATGACCAACTTCTTACAAGCAACTTAACTCAAGTAGTTGACAGTTAAAAGTCAGAAATCTCAAGTCGTCATACTATACAACTGAAATACTTAACAGAAAAACGAAGAAAAGAAGAATAAAGAAACCAACATCATCAACAAGAAGAAATGGATTTATCGTTGAAAGTTGTATGGAATATCTGCGATTTCTATTGAAACTTCTAGAAATAATTCTTCAAGAGGAAGTATAAATATTCATTTTAAAGATGATCATTTTAGTTGGTTAATTAAAATCTCTACAATATGCTGAACTTACCCGTTAATAAGAGAAACAAAATCCGTAAGAATAAAACCAATAAAAAAAAAAGAATTTTATTCTAAAGCTGAAAGAAATAATCTTATAACTCATTAAAACTCTAAAAATGTGTTTGGAATATAGGAGAAATGCAGCTGTCATATGTTTAAACCCAAATTACCTAATTTGTTTCATTTATATATAATCCCTAATAAATAATTTGTAGAAACTTACATTTGGGCGGCATAGTTTAGCACCTAATGCGAATCCTCCACCAACACCTAACGTTCCAAATGGTCCTGGATCTAACCAAGATAACGGTTTTCTTGGACGTACAATATATGCTGCCGATCCTACAAAATCTCCACCATCAGCAATAATAATACTATCTTCGGAAGAATCAGTTGGTAGACCGTAATGTTCCAACTTCCAGAGAACGGAAAGTGGATTGTTATGCTCAATACCTTCTACTTGACAGCTTAGTCTGAAAGGAAAACAAAAAAGATATGATGAATACTGAGATTACCATTGATTATCTTGAAGTTTAGAACAAACAAACAAAATGTTAAAACCATTCAAACCAACAATATGACTGAAGTTTTTTCCTAAATGACGGGATTTTTGACTGGAATATACGAATTTTCGAGATTTTTTCGAATGTATTAAACCTGATGGACATGAAAATATGATCAGCTAACTTGATTAATGAACTTCAACAATTGGATTTTTTCATGAACCGGTTAAGAATATGAACTTATGGAAGTACGAAAGCCAAAAAAGTTGTGGTCCATTATTTAGACGTCGATAAGATCGGACAATGTTATTGACAGGCTCACCACATTAGTGGTCCGATATCTGACTCCAATTAGATCATATGTTGATCGCTATCGAAATATATATATCGCCTATCCTTGCATATAATTATCGACTTAACTCACGTTAGTGAATAATGGAATTAAATTATGTCAGATGCGAGAACGGATTTCGAATACGTATATATTGTACAATCATTGATCCAGGCAGACGATCAAAAGGACGAAATGATGCGCAGTGGAGAAGGCATGTGAGCCAACTCCCATCAACCAAGCGTTAATCGATATTTATAGTGACGCAAAAATACGCTACAGACGTGTGATGAGTAGTATAAGCTGTACACACACGATCGTATAAAAACAGTCAGGGTTGTTAAGTGAATAATTAATAAGGTCAAAACGTGATTCAAGAAGAACGAATAGATCGGCCTGTCCAGGAGCTAGAATAAGCTGTATGGGCTGAACATATCAACGGACACTACAAAATGTGTAATGCAACTCTAATGACAAAAGTAATCTAAATCACCTCCATTTAAAATTTTAAATATGTAAAAGTTGATCTGGATAGTTTCCATTGGTTAAAAATAATAAAATTTATAATTCATCGGCTAAAATTAACAGGGTAGGCAGAATACTTTAATTGCAAAGCAAATGAATGTTCTATACCCTTCAGAATTTCTTTTAACTAAAACTACTTATAAAGACCGGAGATCTTTTAGATGGATCTTTAAAAGTTCCTTGTGTTAGATGATTGAAAGTAGTCGATAAAGCACTCTGAACTTATGGTTCTTGCTAATTTATGTCCAGAGTTTGACAGACAGAATTCAATCAGAACTGAAGGATTTAAAGAGAAACAATGTTCGTTAATACTGCTGAGTGAACAATTATTATCTACAAACATCTCGTCATCCTGCTATCATAACCAAGAAAATTATTGTGATGAATTTTTAGAATTAAGTGTTAAGTGATAAGAAAAGAAGCCATACAGTTCAAACCCTTCTTAATTCCTCAAGATTAGGGTTAATCTATAAATATTGTTAATCTACATTAATTAAAGGATGAAAACTCATTAGTTGAATTAACCATACATTGTTACAAGAATAACCAATGAAAATAACCTACTTAATCTCTTCATCTTGTTTTATTTCACGTGATTTTAAAATATTTAACCATTCAGTGGAACAATTTAGTTCATTAGTAGAATTTTGTAGTTCAAGTGATAAATCTCTTAGGGTTGTACCAACATCAGCTTGAATTGTTAGATATGGTCTCCAAAAATAGTCAGCATTCTATATTTAAATATTAAAAAATAAAGACGAATATTAAATGGATAAGAGAAAACAAAATTATTTATTTATGTCGTTTTACCTGCTGCCAACAGATAAAGGTAGACTCGTTGTCTAATACTAACATGGTTTAGATACTAGTATTGAAGTGTGGAGCGGAGGCTTAATGATTAAGGTGTTTGACTTTCCATAAATAAGTTGTACATTTGAATTCCCTAAATTTACTTCAGTTTAGAGGACTGAGTAGTATCTCGTACACTTATACTGTAGTTTGAAGCCATGTACACGAATTTCTATATGTTAAGTGAGTATTCATTAGACTTTAAACTAACAACTTGTACGATTAATTAGCTACTATAAAACTTTTTGAAGGAATCATGATCGAGATAAGCGGAAATTTCCTAGTTCATGTACGAAAGACTGATAAGGGCTAATATTTCATGAAGTAGGAAGTTTCATGGATGAAATTATTGCAACGAATCATGTGAAGTTATATTGAAAAGATCAATAATGCTTCTAATAGACATTTATCTTCAACTGAAAGCCTTTAGGGTCAGTTGTACCCATATACACCACATTTTTGAATCAATAGACGGTACACAATAGTATTTTAAAGTGTTTAATGATACCTTGTTTTGTTAAGAAATAGTGACACTAACCAATGTAGTGTTTTCGTTAATGTTACTTAACATAATGACGAGTAGCAAGCTTTGCATAAGGCACTTAACAGACATTAATAGCTATATTTAGAATAGATCTACAGTAGGAATTTCTCCATAATAGATGAAAAATGGTTATCAGTGGAATCCAAGGTTCTTCAACTGGATGTACCTTCATCCAAGTGTATTGATGTTTACACAGAAACTTAGACACAATAGGTTCTGTTTCGAATACCCAACGTATTACCTATTGTAATCCAGTGGGTTCAGATAGCTACACAAACGTGTTTGATTGGTATGGTACTTCTATCATTAATAGTAAGGGGTTTGAATTTTGACCAATCTTTGTTGAATAATTCAAACTCACTATTAACAATGATTTAGGAAAAGGATTATTACACTATTCGAAAAGACAGGAAATGAGCAGTATAGATAAAATTGTAAAGGATTCCAAACATTACTGTGTTATAGTAAAAGAAATATAACTTTATTGTCAAAAATATTACCAAAAAAAGAAACAATAAATTTACAAGATATAAGTTCTTCTTATTTCGATTAATTACAACAATCTTCGCCTTTCGATTTAACACACGACCATAATCTAAACGAAAATCACAAATGGCACCTTTGAAACAAACAACAAAAAGAAAACACAATAGATTGAAGAGAAGAAATGGATAGAATACTTTATCAAGTTAGAAGAAACTTAACAAGAAAATGTATATGATGGAGGCAGGTATTTGATAGAACAAGTAAAAGAGAAATTGTTTATCATTGGGAACAGTAGCATTTAAATTTAGAAAGCTAATCAGATAAATTAACAAGTGTATCAGTTTCTGTAGTCAATGTTAAGTTACATTTTCGTGTGAGGGCTAGTGTAATTACTAACTCGACTATTCAAACTTGTTAAATACGATGTGGAACATTGAGGACTATTCTACGGTCATATATATTCAATGCACGTTAAAATATATGAATCAATAGGAATACCGCGAGTAGAATCAATCCAATATTGCATTCTGCGGCGTTCAATTCAGATAAAAATGCTTCGTACACGCTTGTTTAGCTACCAATTGAGAAACCATTAGGGAGATTTAATTGGCCAAACAAATAAATAGGTACACAAATCATTGGTATACATACATTTGTTCTTCTAGCCCGGTGAAAGACATGTAAGCCAAAGTTATGACTAGAAGCATCGTCGGATTTCCCGATTACAGTTTATCACCACCTACTATTTGAATTTGAGATGGTATTTGATTCAAAAAACGTAATATACCTAGACGCACCCTGCCTACCATTTAGAAAGTCACTGAGAACTATACGTCATACAAACGATCCTATCATCCTTGTTCCAAGGTAATTAATTCGACGACATAACATAAGATATCCACGAAGCAACCAATAAACAAACATTCATAGTAACTCAATTCAATAAATAATGCCAAACAATGAATACAAAAAATGTAGATTAGTGATAATATCAAAATTGATAACAATAAATACCTGCGAGAATAATTAGATCAGCTTCACGAAGTGCAGTACGACGGGCATGACGAAATCCAAGTTGGTGATCTCGACCAAGAAGACCACGAGCCATACCTGACATGTAAGTAGGTATCCCCAAGGTCTAAAAAGAAACGACTAAGGTTGAGAAACATCGTGCTGATGAATTTGTCGATAAAAATTACACGGAATGAAAAAAAAGTACGTAGTCACACAAAGATGGTAACAAATTGCACTAATCATATTAGATAAGATACATAGATTATATAAGAGCAGATAAAGCATCTTTCAGTGTGATTGGGGCTACGAACAAACAAAATCGTTCATATTTAAGGGAGTCCGTATTTGCCGGTTATTGGTAAAGTCTATCTTGACCAGATTGCCTCGTTAATTTTATTCCGTCACTAGTTTTAGTGAAGTTGAATTATAACAAGTAGTGAAATCCATAAAGCGCGTTTCGATTTATTTGAAACTCGGCAGGTAGATATATACCTGCATCTCAGTGTTGATGCTCACATACCGAGACTCGAACCCAATGCCTATCCCTTTAAACACAAATGTGTTATTGATAACTTTTATTTTTGAATGTCAAATACAACTGAAAGGTAGAAAAAAATGGACGAAGTAATGAATAGAAACAATCACAAAAAACATTAATTTCGACCTCAGAATGTTCGCTACTGATCATTCAATAGTTATAGATAACTGTGTATTAGTTACATGACAATAACGTGTTATGACCTGAACATGTAAACAATGATTAGATTCTTAAAAATCAATTCACTTATGACCATAACGGTGTTTAAGGTAGAAATCACCAAAGCAGTTAAATTGGTGAGATTAAGAAGTTAATAAAAGAAGTAACAAAGTAAGGTACACAAAATCTACACACAGAAATACGTATGAAAACGTATTTCTTCTTTACAGTATTTGTGATACTATAATTAAGTCGTTTGAGTAACTGCAATCATTGATGAGCAAGTACTTAGATTGATGGCCTCTGTTAGGGAAGGCCTACTCACTGTATACACGTGGCGGATGACAGAACCAACTCCAAAGATGAGACGTGTGCCAAACAGCAAAGGAGCCACGCTTGTTGTTCGAAAGCTGGTAATACTAATCAACTTCCTAAGCCAGAGTGAATGAAGAGGGATTGGAAATCGACAACCTAAACGTTGAAAGCTAAGTGCATTACTGCTTAAACCCCCCCCCACTCTACAAAAACAAAACTTAAAATTTTTTGTTAAAGATTGATTGGTCTTAATAAAGTGTAAAGACTATGATATTTAAAGTCTTAATTAATGACTGATATTGCCAAAGTGACTCCATTGAAGAGGTATAAACGGATGAAGTCAGTACATCAAACATTCTAGCTAAGCATGTTCATGGTGTGGTATGAATTTTTTGAAGGTTCTTTGATTTAGCATCTACCATAGTTAAGTTTCCAAGAATGAGAGGAAGATTCGGTTGATAGAAAACAAAACATGCCATAGCCATTACAATACAAAAACGTCAACAACCTTCAGGAACCTACTGTTCGTTAAGATATCCAAATACCGGCTACAGTGTGTACAATATGGTATTCGAAAAAGGATGTTTAAAACTTATACATAAACTTAAAATAAGCATATGCTGAATTTAGATAAATTTACTTGAACGTGAACGGCTGTCTCTTCAGCTGAAATCGGAGGTAAAACAGCTTGACTACTGATAAGTAAGATTGGCTTTTCAGAAAGTTTTATCAGCTGAGCTAATTTCTTCACTTGTCTTTTAGATGGAAGCGGAATTTTCGGTGATTTGACAACAATTCCATCTAAACCGTTTGTTTTGGATGGATGTGATTTCGATGAGAAACCATTGGCGAATAAATTGAAAAGATAGAAACGTAGATACCTGAAAAGAACGGAATGGTATAAAAAAGAGTAACAGACAAGTGTAAGCTGTGTAGCACTAGATCTTTTAGAAATAGGTGCAGAAAGATTAAAAAGAAAATAGAGTACTTATTTTTTGGTAAATTAAATTGAATACATTAATGAGTGGTTATCACCCTGTTATTTCATGGTATTTTCCATATATTTATCTTTATGAGCTATCTCTTACGCATCAATTACTGTTGTAGCCTATACTAGATACAAAGCAATAGTTAATTGACTATGGACAGGTTAGCCAGTCTTGAAGAAAAGTACTTTGATGTTGTTAAGCTCTTTGAACTACATGACTTAGTTGCGAAGCTTTTATTGTTGTTCTATAGATCATCAGTGCTTAACTTATGTAGAATTGAGACTTGGTGATGCTGTCCAGAATAACAATGAAAGCTTCACAACTAAGCTATATACTTCAGAGAGCTCAACAACACCAAAAACTACTCACGTGAGCTGCAAACTTTCTTCATCAATTCTTAAAAAAAGTATCTTAGTTACATCACACGACATTGTTGATAGGTACTAAGGAATAAATGGAGATATTTTTATTCTCAACTATCGGAAATCATTAGGAGTAAGCACCAACAATTTTCACTGCACCCATCCTAATTATTTATCAACAGTTTCATTGATAACAAAGAACATTTATATTTACATCCACATTTCATTATGTAACTATTTGTAGTAATTAACTGACAATGAGAATTCACTTTAGTTTTAATATGAATCTTAGTTTTCCAAACGTTATGTGACTAACTGATTATTATTTTGTTAAATTGACTCATCCCTATTTAATTGGTCTCGACTTTCTACTCATTTATAAAGCATGTATATTATTGTAGAGGGTTGATGGAGAAATAATTGAAAAAAATTATTTCTTCGCTCAACTTGTCTTTTTAGTGTCTCAATCGGAATATTTAATGAGCACTAACAATGTCAAAGATCCTATATCTATTTGAAGTGGCATATATTGACGGAGTTTACGGTTGAAGCTGAGAACTCTGATTTATTAAGCAGTTGAAACTGGTGGTAACTGGGCAGTTGATTGAGCCACAGCATTCGATCGGTGGTACTGAGTATCAATCTTCCTTCATTTCGATACATAACGAAACTACTTTAAAATGTTGCTGATCATCACATTATAATACCAACTTTCAATTACTTTTTTGAACATTTCATTTTTTAACTGTGATGAGTATAGATTTCTTCCCAAAGTATTTCTTAAATAGCTAGTATGTAACTCGAGCATATGTAACAAAATCCACTGTTTGGTCTTCTGGGGGGGGTACTTAACTGACTTCCATCTAAGAACGAAACACGCTTCAAGTCGTACACCGATTGAGATCAATCCATGACGAATAACAGCCACAACTCTAAAAGAATGCCTACTAAATCAGTTCATGTATATATTTCTCAGATAATTTCGTTCTTGCTTTATTTAAAATCATGCAGTGGATTAACTGAATGCACAGAAAGCAAAAGTTGTAAGTCTGCTGAGTATGAGAATATTACTAATCTAGACAAATAAACACACTCGAACTATGCAGAAAAAGTGTAATTAAATCTACTTACCAATTTACAATTTTCTGCCTTAAAGAATTTGTTTTGTCAGACAATTTAGTATGCTGTTCAACCAATTTATATGGATATAACAGATCGATCGGAAACTCAACTAAAACTGGTCCTTAATAATTTGAAAAAAAAATACTATTATCAAAAACATATCGCGGAAATTAGTAAGAAATTCCATGCGATTAGTTCATAAGGCAGATTTAAGCAAAAACAAATACGATATAGTCTGAAGAACATATGATTAGTTTAATCTAGTCGCCCCCGCTACATATATGCATAGAAACTAATACATTTTCGTGAATTCGAAACTTAATAACAGACCTTAAAATTAAGGCATGAATGGTCTACCAGTGAAAAAGCAGTTTGAAAGTTAAAATTGTCATGTAATTCAAGCTGAGCAGGCGAGATATCCGTCTATCAACAAAAGGATGAGTATACTGCGCGGCAGTCCGTTCTCTTTTAATTTACGGCGGCGAAACATGGCCATTAAGAGTAGAAGATACTCGTAAGCTACTAGTATTTGACCAGAGATGCCTTAAAAATATTACTGGCGTCTGATGGGGTCACTGGGTAAGTAATAGTGAGGTTAGACTCAAATTATTGGGGAATGATGGTAAATCAGTTGATGAGGTTGTGAATCTTCATCGACTGAGATGGTTGGGTCGTGTTACGTGGAAAAAACGTGGACAAAATTCAACAATCATATAATATGGAATTGGTATAAACTAGGGATCATGAATCTTCATCGACTGAGATGGTTGGGCCACGTGTTACGTATGCCTGAACATCGATTACGACAACGCGCAATGCTGACTAGTGTTGGGGATCATTGAAAGGAAGTTAGGGGCGGCCAAACCAAGACTTGGCATCAGTGCTTGAAGTCACTAACTTCTAGTCTGAGCCATGTTGGAAGATGAAGACTACTTGGTTGGGGTCCGCGTGACTATCGTAACCAATGGTTGGAGACTCTTGGAGACATAACTCACTCTCTGTCTTCCCTTAAACTAAGAGATTAAAACCGCTTCATATCTTTCTTTCTACGAACTAATTCTTCCTGTACTAGATCCTTATTGCAATCTTTCTTTCATATATTACCACCACTGAATTAACTACTTTTATGAATCCAGTGTCCATCTTGTTGTGTTAATGAGGTATGGCAACTTGGACCGGTGCATATATGTGCCTGGTCCTACGTTGTAGCTGACTGACTGAGCAGTTTTCAGAGACTTTACAAGTAATTTGAATGATAGCTTTGAAAATCATAAACCTTAAATCACTATAAGGCGACTAGAAATGTAAATGTCGGTGTGATTTTAACTGGTATCCTGTACATATATTTTTTGCAGATTTAAGTTGATATAAAATCAATTTATTTATGATAAAATAGTTATGGATTTTATAGTCTGTAAAGCAATTTCTTCCAATAATACCCTGTATGAAAGGTAAAATACTGTTTGGAGGTTAAAGCAAAACAAGTAATCTCAGGAAACTACCCTTTAATCATTAACTTGGAAGTTTGACCCTTAAAACAGTGAAGCAACGTCAGAAAGTGCAACTTCATGGTAGCTAGGGCTCAAAGTGACGAGAAAAAATAAAGACGTTAGTATACCTGGGTAGACGTGGGTGCTGATAATAGTCAGGCAAATAAGATCATTGTACGTTTAGCGGGAGCAAGAGAAGCTTTTGCCAATCAGCACCATACCTTAAAGACACCTGTTTAGTCACAGAAATACCGGTGCTTAGTGTTGTAATGAGAACAGCTTTTTCTGACTGGGTATGAAAGTAGCTGCATCATAAGACTTAGATGATGAAGTTGAAAAGTTGTGTTCAATATAATAGCACCAAAAAAGCCTGGTATCTCCTCAAAATGAAATCTAATTAAGTTATCTGACAAGCAATACGTATATGTAGATTTATATCCTACTGGATTATAATAGTGACCATAACGGGTAACTTGTGAATCATCCTGTAACTTAACTTCCAACTTAGTTTTATATCTAGCAATAATCTTACTGCCTGAAACTTTGTATACAGCATCAAGTTTAATTAGTTCCAGGAAAAACAAAGAACCTTTTCTAATTCAATAGAATTGGACTGACAATCATAACAAATGCAATAAAAAAATCATCTTCCGTCATCTACAGCCAAAATATTTGCGATGAACAGTAGTTATGTCACTAAATATATTAACCACTGGGAATTGATAAATTTACCGGGAGTATCCGATTGTGCAATATAGAATGCTTCACAAAGAACAGGGATAATCTCTCTGACGTAATCTATACGTCTGCACCATTTACAAATTGGGCGGAACACAGCAAGCTGGTCGATATCTTGAAGTGATCCACGACCACGTAAAAGTCCAGAAGCAGCTCCAGCTAGAAGGACTACAGGAGATTCAGCCATCTGAGCATTCTTCACTGCTGTCACCGTATTAGTAAGACCAGGACCTATGAGTTAGATGAGGAAAATGTTGAACATTTTACTAGACCAACTTTACTACAAAGAGAATCATAAATGTATGACTTGGTGACTTTAAATCTAAAAGTACTTCTTTGTTGGTGCTAGATGTCTAGATATGGAAGCGAAACTGCATAGAACACACTTTCTATACTCAAAATTTACACAAAGCTATCCTACTGCTTAGAAGACTTGTAACTAGGTGATCGATTGCAGACTTGTGTACTTAGCTTGGAGCCACAAATACTGTGTACGAGTTGGAGACATTACTAAACTCTCAAAAGTAATGTAGATGGAACGAAGTTATAGTTTGTGAAACAATCAGTGAGATTCAAAAGGTCAGATCATTGATTACTTAACATGAACCTGCTAGGTCATCAATTTTCTATAACCGTGATAGCAGAAATGTTAGCCACTTTACACATTCGGATTAAAAATCATACTTATGGTATTAAGGTTACTGATGAACTATAATTGAGAAAACTAGACTGGAGTAGACATTGACAAAATAAATGAAAACCTAAACTACTTAGCAACATACTGAATAGTTTGGTGATTGGAGTAAACAATTTACACCTCATACCCTACATCTCCAAGTACATTGGGTACCTTGCAAAAGGCCAATGACAAACACTAGCTATAAAAGTTTTTTACCAGAACGTTCAGTTGATTTAATTGAGGGAATTTTTAAAGATTGCTGATGGTGGTTGATTGAGGTAGCTGATCGTCCCAGTGTAGAGAAAGTACATTCACTTGTGATAACCGCAAATTGATCAGTATGACTAGGATAGCGAAATCTATTAGCTTCTGTAATCATTTGCTGCTCAGAAATAGAAAATTTGATAAAACCAGGCATACTTAAAACCTCACCGAGAAAATATAAATCAAATACTTCTGAACTAAAAGACATTTTATAATAATCATTAACTCTTGTATCAAGGAATTATTTCAACTAACTTGAGGCTTCTTACTTAAACACAAGTGATCAAATGACAGCTAGTGGGAAAGTGCAATTGGAATCGAATGCACTAAGTGTTTTATATTGGAGAGGCTAACTTTGTTCGGTCTTGTAAAAGATAGTTTTGAGTTATTGGTGATTAATCGATCATGATACTCATTTCTCATATAAACTTTACAGATAAAATAGTTATGTTTGGTGAATTCACTAAAAAAATTCGATGACGAAGTCCGGGACGGAATTTTCTTTTTACAAGCGTCAAACGTTATTTAAAGGCTGTTTTTCATTAGTGCAGCCTTACAATGAAGGGTTAGCTAGTCAGACATGTTGACGATATCACTTATATTTATAGTCTCCCTGAGTTGAGTGGGTTGGTGACTGGTTAAATTTCAGAATAAGTAGAGTAAGTTCTGTTTTTCCTCAGCTCGCTGCAAGTATGTCTGCCTGAGACAGATTATAAGTAATTTCGACTGCCTACTGCGGCTTTGAAAATTATGTGCAAATTTATTAGAGCTATTTTCCGTGCTTATTTAGGTAATTTCTAAAAAACACAAAACTCAAGTGTAAAGAGATATGTGCTGTCAGATCGCTGCATGTTAGTGTAATCCGAGTGCTGTTCTAAGCAGTAACGAAGCGAAAGGAAATGGCATTTGAATAAAAATTTACCTGCTGTAACAACAGCTACACCAACGGAACCAGAAAGTCTTGAAACAGCATCAGCAGCAAAGACAGCAGAAGCTTCGTTTCTTACATCTATCACACGTATATTTTCTTTTTCTGAAGCAACCAATATCGGTGATATGTGGCCTCCAGTAAGCGTAAAAATAAATGGTACATTATGCGCCTACAAATATATCAATAGTGTTATGTTACCTTCAGGACATCTGCAACCAGCTCGCCCCCATAGTGTCCTGAGCTTTTATCGATCTATCAGTAAAAAACTGCTACCAACAAAAAACTTACTTCGAAACGAAAGTGTCTGCGCAAGCCTTTAAATATAAAAAACAGTCCGAAAACTATGAGCGATCCAGTTGCTAAGAATGACATAGTGATACGATATCTGAAAAGCAAGAGAATTTAAACTATCTTTCAGTTGTTTGAAAACATGAAGGTACATATTAACAGCTCCAATTCCAAAATAAACGTAAATTAACTGGAAAACATGAAGTATATAATTTCGTCAGGCCAAGCCAAAAGCGAAGAGCTTACTGAATTATTTTATCAAAATGTACACTAAAGTTCTGACTACCTGCATAGCATCACTAAAATTATACCCAAACACTTCTGCTTCGATATAAAAGACATTCCACAGGCATAGTGAAATTTAAGTGGTCAACAAACAAAAAAGTAGGCGGGGCAGTTTGGATGGAAGTCTGTGAAATGTGATGTACCGTAAGGTGAGACTTTAGATCTATTACTTCACTCTATTCCACGAATTATTAAATTTGAGTCTACATTCGTGTTCCTAGGTAATGTAAAGGTTTTTTAAAAATAAATGGCAATCCAAGTGGGTTTGAGCTTTAAGGTGATTTAGATGAATGGATAGACCAATAGTTGACAGATTAAAATAATCATAACAAGATTTCAGTAATGCATAACGAACAGCAGTTCATCGTTAGTGAATTATTATCATGATGTCGAACTGTAATACTCGTGAATAACTAATGCATGACCTGGAAACAAATATACACTACTATGCTGCAGCTAAGAAGTTGAATGTTGAGGTCACTTCGATTTCGTAACTTTAAGCCCCGAATATGTGTGACATCAACAAGTGTTGCAGGCGAGCAGCTAGCCAATGTATCTCTAAAGACCTTAATATTATAAAGCGTCTCCAAAGAGTTGGTTACTGGACTTTCCAACCTCTCTAAGGAGTTTATGTTCGAAGTTTCTAAAACTCACTACAAGAATATAAAACTAGGACCAGCGAAAACCGGCTTTAAAAAAGCCAGGGAAGTCATTATCACCGCTACAAAGACCTCGAATGAACGTAGATACACAACCTATCAAATTATCGTGGTGCTAGGAGTATATATATATATATATATATATATATATATATATATATATATATATATATATATATACATGGAAAGCCAGTACATTATAAGCTAAATATGAAGTATCTGGACGAACCAAACTAGCTGTTAGTTCATGACGAAAACCCCAGTAATGCATACGTACGTTCGCTATTCACTAAGAAGCTGTCTATCAATAGCAACTAAACAGTGTCAGTTCATTGACTAAAAACCCAAGCAAACCAAGGAGTGGGAGCGCGCCAAAAGTCGACTTTGACGCCTACCGTGAAAAAATGGTGAGGATTCTCCATTCTTTGTCACACTAAGGATGAGACTGCAATTTATAATCCTTTTAAAGACGCTAGTGACCTTGAGAAAATAAGCATACTTATGAGGATCGAAAGAGGGTCACATATTATTATGAGAAACTAGATTATGAAGAAACAGGACCATAATTCAAAGTTATGAATGAAACTGAAGATTTTCATCAAGAACTGACATCAGCTATAGTTTCAAAATTTTATTTAATTATACAGTTGACCAAAATTCGCGCCTAAGTCCAAGACACGCTATACTTAATTCCATTGGTTCGTCCATGAATTGTGGTACCGACTATCCGAGAATAAGCCCGCTGGCTGAAGGTCGAAAGTTTGGAGTCCCAATATTGTACTTAAACAACGGTTATATTCAAAAATTTTAATATCAACATGATCGAAAGTGTGGGACGTAATAGTCATCTCACTTTATGGGTTTGTTTTATGTCTTCTTATGTGAAACTGTTATGATTCCCTCTCAGACATGTACCAAGTTTTCGATTCATATTTATGTGTCAAAGATGGAAGATGAACAGTCTATGTTGCTTCCTTTCTATCGAGCTTTTTTGTTTCCATTTAAATCTTAAAAACACACTTTTCATGTACTACAAACTGTCCTGAGCCTGATGTGAGGTCCAAAACCAAATTGGATCACTTCTCAGTCTGAGGGAAAACAAAGTAAGGAGGTCTGGTTTCTTGAACCGCATTATAGATAGCAGGGCACAGAACTCTACAAATGCACAGGAAGCAGTCCCCTATGCCCTTCTCGAGGTATCCTTTCCATCAGTGAAAACAGGATTTTGTGGCCTAATTTTATATCCCACTGGGGCTGTATATATTTTGATTAGCGTATTTATTTCGAGGATGTAATAATCGTCTTAGTACGCACACGTTTTTGAACAATTCATCCGAAACCGCACGGCAGTGAGTTTTACCGCGCTACTGCCTCAAGATCAATGGGAGGTAAGACAAGAGGGGCTGTAGCGGTAAATAAATCCCCAAAATAAATAGCACTAAGTTTTCGACATTGGATGCTGACCATATGTTTTAGTGGACTCACCTAGCTGAAGGCGCTCGGTCAGGAATCCGCACCAGATCACGTGTGGTAACGCCGTGCTCAACATCAACCGCAATCGCTAGCCAGATTAGATCAGAGAATTCCGATATATTGGTCATCGCCAAATATACTCTTCCGATCTCCTCGACTCTGTCTTTTGATTTCTCTGGGCGGGAACGAAATATATTAGAAGGTGTTACTGGTAGAAGCGTTGTCAAACACTGAATACCTGTGACATCATCATTGGTGAAACCGACGTGATCTGGTACACCTAATTGCAACTGTGAGTCTGTTCCTTTTTGGGATTTTTATATATCATTGCCTTATTTTTTTAACTTTTTTAAACATTGTGATTTTTTTTTCGTGTTTTTTCCTGGATATATATATTTTCCCCTTGTTCATTATCGTACTTCATACTTCATCATGACTGAACAGACACCTAAAGTACTCAAGCTTAAGACTTTGTCCCCGCCTTCGTTTCAACTGATGCCTTTCTGGCCCGACAACATCGAAGCCTGGTTTTGCTACGCAGAAGCCGACTTCTCCGAGCACGGCGTGATCGACACACGTGCACAATTCCTCGCAGTAGTCAAGGCACTACCGCGCGAATTCAACAGGTACGTAACACCTAGTATGTTTACTAGTGATGTTTCCGATCCTTACGAAATCTTAAAACGCTCGATTCTTAAACGAGGAGACCTAACCGATCGACAAAGGTTAGATCAACTCTTCAACAATATCGACCTGCAACACGGTTCTGCGACGGACATGTTGCAACGGATGAGAGAGGTAATAGGCCCAAGAACTTTCGACGAAGGCCTATTCAAACAACTCTTCTTGTCAAAACTTCCCCAACAGGTGCAAGCAGTTCTGGTCTCGTTCCAGAACAATGCCTTAGACGAGCTAGCTGCATCTGCCGACCGCATATTAGAAATTACGAAACCTACAACCGAGGTATTTTCAGTCAAAGAAAAACCTCAAACGACTCAGAATGATATAAACGACTTATGTCACACACTCACGCGTTATCTTAGTCTTCGTACCGACCGTGAGAGATCGCGCACACCACGTAGAAGCATTTCTCGTAAGCGATCTGTCTCTAGACCACGAGAGACAGATAACCCCGACTGGTGCTGGTATCATAACCAGTATGGAAAGTCTTCCAGAAATTGCAGAAAACCCTGCAATTTTCCCAACACGAAACCGACTGATTCGAAAAGCATTTCGGGAAACTTCCAAGCCGGCACGCGTTAACGGCAACCGTAGCCGGCGAACATAGCCGTCTGTTATTCGTCATGGATGTGACAACGAGAGTTCGCTACCTCGTCGACACTGGCGCAGAAGTTAGCGTTCTCCCAGCAAATCCTAACGACCGGCTTCAGGAATCGGCTTTTAACTTACAAGCGGCAAACGGAAAACCGATCGCTACGTATGGCAAAAGGTACGTTTACCTTAACGTGGGTTTACGCAAACCCATCCACTGGATTTTCGTTGTTGCAGATGTTTCTATGCCAATCATTGGTATGGACCTTCTACAACACCACAATCTGATCATCGACACGCGCAAACGGAGGCTAGTAGACGGAAACACTAATTTGTCCGTTTGCGTAACTTCCTTTACTGGTTGTAGAGTATCCCCAGTCACAGTTAAACATATGATAGACCCACTCTATCAACCACTACTCGATAAGTACCCTGGGATACAACAAACTCAACCGAAACTACCGTGTGTAACCAGCAATGTTACACATCACATCACGACTACAGGACCACCTGTATTCTCTAAAGCACGACGACTAGCTCCGGAAAAGCTAAGGTTAGCGAAAAACGAATTCGATCACATGATGGACTTAGGAATCATACGACCGTCAAGTAGCCCATATGCATCTCCGTTGCACATGGTCCCTAAAAAGGACAGCAACGATTGGCGTCCAACTGGTGACTATCGGCGATTGAACGCGAAAACCATTCCCGATCGTTACCCGTTGCCTCACATTCACGATTTGACAGCTACCTTGAAAGGTACAACTGTCTTTTCGAAAATCGACTTGGTTAAAGCGTATAACCAAATCCCTATGGCTACTGACGACATACCGAAAACAGCTATCATAACTCCCTTCGGACTCTATGAATTTTCGCGAATGCCTTTCGGTCTACGAAATGCTGCTCAAACATTCCAAAGATTCATAGACGACGTTTTTCGAGGTCTCAACTTCGTACACGCGTATGTTGACGACTGTCTAATCGCAAGTCCGGACAGAGAGACACATCTCAAGCATCTGGATCTTGTTTTCGAACGACTTCAAAAACATGGCATAACTGTAAACGTTCAGAAATGCCAATTCGGAACCGACTCGTTAGACTTCCTAGGACACACTATCGATGCTCAAGGCATTCGACCTCTTAGGACCAAAGTGGCGGCCATTCTGGATTACCCAGAACCGACCACCGTCAAGCAATTACGCACGTTTAACGGCCTGGTAAGTTTCTATAGACGTTTCATACCGAAATGCGCATTACTTATGAAACCTCTGACCGACCAACTTCGTGGAAATGCGAAATCCATTAATTTGGACGACACCGCACGAAAAGCATTCTCCACAGTTAAGGAACTGATTGCTAAAGCAACGATGCTCGCACATCAGGACACCCGAGCACCCATTAGCATCGCAGTAGACGCATCCGACTCGGCAATCGGAGGAGTCTTACAACAATGGGTTAACAACTCCTGGCAACCCTTGGCATTTTTCTCTAGAAGGTTGCTAGACACCGAATCGAGGTACAGCACATTCGGTAGGGAACTCCTAGCTATGTATTGTGCTGTACGGCATTTCCAACACCACATCGAAGGTCGTGAATTCACTCTTTTCACGGACCATAAACCGCTCACTTTCTCGTTAAGCTCTCCTTCTGACAAGTACTCTCCCCGTGAGTCTCGACAACTGGACTACATTTCGCAGTTTACTTCAGACATTCAACACATCTCTGGAGCAAACAATGTAGTTGCAGACTCTTTATCTCGCATAACTTCCTTGAACAGTTTCCAAGGAATCGACCTTCTTAAACTCGCCCAGCTTCAAAAAGAAGACAGTGATCTTCAGCACGAGTTATCGTCCACAACACTTAAACTACGCATCAAACAGATGGGAACAGGTAAGGAAACCTTACTTTGTGACACATCTACAGGTAGGGATCGCCCAATCGTGCCGAAACATTATCGACGCAATGTCTTCAACACATTGCACAAACTTTCGCATCCAGGTGTTCGTGCAACCATCAAGCTTATAGCAGAAAGGTTTTGCTGGCCTGGAATGAATAAAGACGTGAGGGAGTGGGCACGCTCCTGTGTAAGCTGCCAAAAATCTAAGGTTATCAGACACAATAAATGTCCCTTAGGCTCGTTTAAAACTCCCGATGCTCGTTTCGACCATGTTCATCTGGATTTGGTAGGACCTTTACCAGATTCAAATGGATACTCTTATCTCTTAACCTGCGTAGACCGTTTCACTCGATGGCCAGAAGCAGTACCTATCAAGGACATCACTGCTGAAACAGTGGCCCGCACCTTCGTCGAACGATGGGTAGCAAACTTCGGCTGCCCTTCAACCATCACTACAGACCGCGGACGTCAGTTTGAATCTGATCTTTTCCGTCGTCTGACCACTCTTTTAGGAATCACTCGCTTCAGAACGACCGCCTACCATCCACAAGCAAACGGGTTGGTAGAACGTTTTCACCGACAACTGAAAGTTTCGCTATCAGCTGCAAACGTTTCACAGTGGACCGACGCTCTTCCACTCGTCTTACTAGGTATCCGCAATGCAGTGAAAGCTGACATTGGATACACTGCGGCTCAACTCGTTTATGGAACGACACTTCGACTTCCAGGAGAATTCGTGGATCTTTCATCCTCTTCAATGAACATGGATCTAACCTCCTACACGAACAGGCTTAGAAATGCAATGCGTTCAGTTAAACCTGCTTCCACTCGACCTCAATCAACTGATGTTTTCGTTCAACCTGACTTACGATATAGTACACACGTTTTCGTTCGTCGAGACTCGCATCGACGACCCTTCGAATCAGCATACGAAGGACCCTTCAAAGTTCTTCAACGTGAATCTAAGTACTATATAGTCGATAAGAACGGAACCAACGATAGCATCAGTATCGATCGCTTAAAAGCAGCGTATTTAGAAGGAAATCCTATCTACGTGGATTTTCCTTCGGTACAATCGAACGACACGACTCCG